AGCAAAGTGTACCTGGGATTTGCATTGTACCTGGGATTTGCATCAATCTGTGTTCTTACTGTTATGTACATTTTAGCTATTCATTTGGCAATGTTGTTGAAACAAAAGGGAGATCTTTGGAAGATATTGAACGTGAACTTAGCCCAACTATATAACATATAACTCACTATATTGCATATTTTAGGTATTCATCTTCATATTAATAATAAGCTAGTTTATGTAATCTGACCACATTGTAAAATTTCTGTTATGGACAGTTATTGACAAATTTGACTTTTGAGATTTCTTTGTTTATATATATATATATATATATATATATATATATATATATATATATATATATATATATGTTACAACCCTCACACCTTTATATTTTGGACAAGAATCCATCCAAACTTTGAACTAAATGATGATAATCGATGATATATGAGAAATTGTTTCATATTAGCAAAACATGTTTTTTTGACATTTTTATTATGAAAATTTGAATTTAAAGTGGTTAAGGACGTGAAAAAAAAACGGTTGTTAAAACCACATTTAAATCTATATTGTCATAACACCCTCCAATATAAACTTATTATCTTTAATTGTCCTTTAAATCTATATTGTCATAACACCCTCCAAAAAAACGGTTTTCAGTCCATATGAGTTATCCTTTTAGGCTCTTGGAAGTGTTAAGAGCCATAAAAATCGGACCTTGATGGTTTAGCCTCAACCATGCAAGTGCTAGGTACCAACTAAGTGTGGTTATGGACTTAATGAACAAAATAGTTCTGTAAAATGTCATGTCTATTCATGAAGACTGAAAACACTATATATAGTACAATGTTTGGGACCTAGGAATGGAAAGAAATCATCTACACTAATTACTATACATATATACAACATCAGATCATTTCCAAAGATAAGTTGTTTTACTAAATCAATCAGCTAGAAATCAAGGAATTAATTAGCTGGAAATCAATCCTGTGATATGGTGGATTTATTGTTGTTCTGTCAACAGCTTGAGTTGTCAACACTTAATCTATGTCTTAATCCCCATCCATGCATGCAAAAGCATAACGTTTATGACTTTACAACTTAGGACGTTCTTAGGGACCTGGATCTGGATCTACATTCTGGACGTTAGGACTTAATGGATTAAGTCACAAGAGGGTTCTTGGGTTGGCTGCCAGTACGCTGGGCGTACTCCCTGGTACGTTGCGCGTACTGGGTCAACCACCCGAGTCAGGTCAAGACCAGGGTACGCTGGGCGTACATGCAGAGTACGCTGCGCGTACGCATGCAGAATGCAAAAATGACCGGTTGGGCCTTGGCTTGTTGGACCCCAAGCCCATCTGTGAATGAAGACCTTTGGGCTTAGGGTTGACTAATGATATTTAGGCCTTAGAATTTAATTTCTTGGGCTTGGACACTTTTGGGTGGTTCGAAATTGGGCCTTAGGAGGAAGAGGCCCAATAAGGCAAGAATAAGGGGATCTTTGCCTTAAGACATGAATTAGGGTTGGAGTCATAATTTGTTAGCTAATTAGAAATTTATGATGTGCGATAGGGGAAGGAGTTCATGAGTTATTCGTTGAGTGCGTTATTACACCCACAGTTTGAGGTGAGTCTCCTTTCGTAGAATTTATGGGTCGAAGGCACCAAGGCCGGCCCACTAGTTATGATAAGGCACGATGATTGTCTTTGTGATAATTATCGGGTGTGCATGTAATGTTTGATGATTCTGTGAATTTTGTGGGATATTATGTAGTAGTGGTATGGGTGAAATAGACCCGATATCCGGTTGGAATAGACCGAAGGGGCAGGTCGAGCACCTATATATACTCGACATTATCCGGTTAAAATAGATCGAAGGGGAAGGTCGAGCACACAAATATCCTCGGCAGTATCCGGTTGAAATAGACCGAAAGGGTAGGCCAGCATCCGGATATGCTTCGCAATATGTTTATTGTGTATGTGGGTATGGTGGGGGAACTCACTAAGCTTTGTGCTTACAGTTTCAGCTTGTGTTTCAGATACTTCTAGCTCAAAGGGAAAAGGGTCGGCATGATCGCATCGCCTCACACTACGATTTTCCGCAGTAGAGATTTTGGGAACTTAAACTCTGATAATACTTTTCTATGTCTGGTTTTTGTTTAAATACTATAATCACCGTATTGCTTTTGAAACTGATGATGTTCTGGGTTATGGATTTAGTAACTTTAAAAATGAAAATTTTGGGATGTTACACAACATGTTGGATTTCCTTTCCCATCTTTCTTTCGTGTCGAGCCTACAAATTAATACGCAAAATGAGTAAAAACAATTTATGAACAACAAAAGATATAAAATATTGATAATAACTAATTACCCCCAGTGTAACTTGTGTGGTTTCTTTGATGGTATTTGTGGTTTTGGCATTGAAGAAACATCTAATGAGGTAGAACTGCTTGTATCTTCAGCTGTTTTACATGAGTTTTTTCTTGCTGCAGATTCATCAACATGGCTATCCTTCTTTTCTAATCTGTTTGGCATAGATGCCTTCCGCGTACAATCACCGATTAATCACCTTATAGAGGACAAAAAAAACATGGTTTTAATGGAAGTTGTCGAACGAACCTTGTGATTTCTTTTTGACCTTGGAATTTTCTTTTATCTGTAATCACCTTTCGTGCGGTTCCCTATCGATGAATGGATCACAATCAAACAGATCATATTTAGTTCAAATGCCTATTATTATGAATTGGAATTCCAAAATAGATTCCTACATGGTAATGCAAATAGAACTTTGGATTCGTAAATCGAAGAGCATATAAGAAGCAAATCAGATATCAGAATAAATCTGATATAGCTACTGTTTGTAGATAATCAGAGGAATCGACGAACTATTACATAGTCAATATCCTAATTTTGATTAAAAGTTGAATCATGGAATCTGAAATTTTGGAAAGGCGAGCTTGGGCAACAGCAGAGGAGGGCTTGAATTTAGGGTTCAGACACGCAGCTGATGCAATTACTGCTTCTCTCCTCTCGTCTTCCTCCATTCTCGTTTAAAGGTTTAATCAAATAAGCGTATTTTGTATGAGTTTCCTACCGAAACATGATTAGTAGCAATGGCATCCCCGATGTTTATTATTCAAAAATGTTTGTTTTTTGAAAAAAAAAAAACTTCTGCATCTGGTAGATGCATAGTTCGTTGGTTCACTCCCTAAAAAGGAGTTCGTTGTTGAACTTCATTCATTCTCTCTCTCTCTCTCTCTCTCTCTCTCTCTCTCTCTCTCTCTCTCTCTCTCTCTCTCTCTCTCTCTTATATATATATATATATATATATATATATATATATATATATATATATATATATATATATATATATATATTCTCTCCGTTCTATATTAATAGTCTATGTTTCCTTTTTGGGTTGTCCCAAAATAATAGTCTACTTCTAAAAATAAATATCATTTTTACCAAAATACCCGTCATTATGAGTTAAACTACAATGGAATTAAATGCAACTACAATGAAATTAAATGCAACAAAATGGTACAATTGTAATTTCATTTAATAAAGTTAATGGTAATTAATGTTTCCTTAATCTGTATGGTTTTCATTTTGGGACGAAGGGAGTATATAATATATATATATATATATATATATATATATATATATATATATATATATATATATATTTTCAACAAAACAAACACACTTTCAAACAATATGAATAATTTTAAGGGTTCAATTTCTTCTTCTTCATTCGATGATAATGACTCTGATGATGAGTTGGTTTTGCACACGTTGTTGTCCGCGGCACAAGACATGATTCATCAAAGAGGCGAAAGTTCAAATGTCGAGAAAAAACGTAGAATTTCGATCAACCGGATGCTCCTTTCACAGTGAATAGAAATGAATATAAGTTTGGGTATTACCTAACGGATAAAATATATCCTGCATATTCCACGTTCGTGAAGGCATTTCGACACCTAATAGAACTAAGAGACAAATTTTTCAAGAGGAGACAAGAGGGAGCACGTAAGGATGTGGAACATGCTTTTGGAGTTCTAAAGTCGAAGTGACACATAGCTAAATATACGGTGCGATCATATGAGATAGGCACTACAAGATGTTATGTATGCATGTATCATAATGCATAACATGATGATTGGAGATAAAAAGACAAAATATTGCAGAGTATTTGTCTACGAAACCCGGACACGTACAATTTCAACCAGGGACAACGAAATATTTACATAGAGTCGTTGATATTCTAGATGCACGAAAACACAGACAACTTCGGAAAGACTTGGCGATTATACGTACGATGGTAACGAAGATGAAGATTAGTGAATTTAGGGATAAAATGTATTTTTTTTCGTATTTTATCGTCTTTTTTTTAGTCGTAATGTTTGTTTTAATTTTTAAATGTTATGTTTAATTAAAAAATTAGGTTTTATTCAAATAACATGTTTTATTAAATTAATTTTGTTTTTATAAATATTAAAAAATAAACCGAAAAAATAAAGAAAAAATAAATGATGACATGGAAATTAATGGGTGTTATAATATATTATAACATGTTGTCTATTGTTGCAATTGGTGTTATAACATCAAGGATGATGTAACACTAAAATGGTGTTATAAAATACTTAAACATATTGTATATACCTAATAGTCTTAGGAAAGTTAGAGAAAGAATGAGAAGAGAGAGAAAGAAAAAAAAAAGATGATGTAACTTATGAGAATGGACGATGGTAGTAAAGAGTTTTTGACCAAACCGGTGTTTTTGAAAAAAATATTTACCAGATGGATATACATTTCAAAATATTTATCAAATAGGTGTAGTTTTAAATTTTAATAGATTTTTGTAAAATTTTTAGTTTTTTTTTTTTGACTTTTTTGACTTTTTTTTTTATCTTTTTCTCCAAATTAATAAAGAAATATAAAAAATATAAGCAACAATTAAACAACTATACTAAGGAAAACATATTAATGTTTACAATAAAAAAACTTTAAACAAGAAAGAGGGTAAGAAAGCGTAGGAACCGAAGCAAAACACAAAGCTATTTGTTTGTGCAATTATATACTATATGAAGAATAGATTGTTTAGGTCCCGTTTGATAGTTTCTGTCTGGGAAAATGCTGTCTGGTAAAGTGCTGCCTAAAGTGCTGTCTCGGAAAGTTTTCTGACTGGGAAAGAAACCATGCTGTTTGATTGTACATCTGATTGACTGTGCTGAATGATGAAAAAAGATAATAATTCAATAAAAAATAAAATTAAAAAAAGTTATTTAAAAAAATTAATAATCCAATAAAGAAAGAAAGAGGCGGGGTTTGGTGTATAATTGTCTTTCCAGCCCATTCAGCCAGAAAGATATGATTTTGGGGCTTTCTGGGAAAGACATATCTTACCGGGAAAGACCCATTCTTTTGTGCAAATCAAACAGTCTTTCCGGTCCATTCAGCCAGAAAGATCTGTTTGGACCTGGAAAGATGCGTATCAAACGGGACCTTAATGCTATAGGAGCTTCATAATATCAATCGCTCAAGCTGTAAAAGAATAACAATTGAAATGTAATTATGAAAACAAAAATGTGGCAGTGTAGTTAACATTGACAAATTTTATTGCTGTATAACTATGGTATAATTGGCAAACATGGAATAAATAAAATGAATTGAATAATAAGACACCCAAAAGATTGAGTTCTTTAATGCTACATGCTGATTAAAGTTTATATTCATTTACAGCTTATCCATCACAAATAAAAAAACAAATTTGATCATAAAATACATATCAAACAACTTCTAAGTAACATAAAAATGAATTTTGATTAAATATAAGTAGCATTTTCCAATTGGGCTAATGTCATAAAAACCCTGAAGTTTTCAGGGTTTTGTCGGTTTTGGAAAATGTTAGGGTAAAAACGGACATAAAATTCAACTTTGGGCAAAACCGACAAAACCCTGAAAACTTGAGGGTTTTTATGACATTAGCCCATTCCAATTCAGTATAATAAATAAAAATAAAAAACCTACTTTTTGGATATCTCAAATATTATAAAATGACTATTCGAATCCGAAAAATCGGAAGAAATTTCGAACAATCCTTATTCTAATTTTCGGATAATAAGCATTTGTTGGTTTATATTCAAAAAATTGTTGATTATAATGGTGTTTTTTTAAAAAAAAATTTGATAAAAATTAATAGAAAAAAAACATTAAAACAAATAGTTAAAAAAAATATATTAAAAAACAGTAAAAATAATTAAAAAACTGAAAATTTTAATTTTTTTTGAAAATATACCTGTTTGGTAAATATTTTTAAAACTATACCTATCTGGTAAATATTTTTTTTAAAAACACCATTTTAGTCACAAAAAAAAAAGGAAGATGAAATTATCCTATGAAATAACAAGTAAGGTTTAGAAGAAAAGTAGCATATTAATACTCTTGGTGCAAAAAAAACAATCAAATTTATGTGGAGCGCGGGCCAGCCCCCTAGTTGTTATCCAAACATCAACTTGTGCAACGGAAAATGACATGATATAATTGTGAGATGCATTAGCCATTCAAAATAATCATTTTTGTTTGGTTTCAGGGTTGTGTAACGGAAGATTTGGATATTATAAATTCAATTCATTAAAGATCAAATATTTTATGAAAAAAACTTTAACTATTTGGCGTGTTATTATGAATGAATGATATTTATTTTCTTCGGTTTAGTTCATACTATCAACTTGGTTGATGACAACTCTTAATACCGCTATGCCAACGACCATTTTATAATATTTTCATTATTTTGACCCTGACTTTTGTCGTGTCCGGATTATATGTCCACACCTCCTTGCTTATATTAGATCATAATATTAATCTCTATTGGTACTTGCAAAACTGACAATAACAGGTAATAGTGGCCACGATATAACTTTTTGACAGTAATTGTTTGTTTAGAAAAAAAAACTATGGCAGTTAAACCGAATATTGGCCGAACTATAATGACAATTTTGTTATTAATCGTATAATGACTTTTATGTTATTAATCGCAAATGGCCGAACTATAATGACTATTTTGCGATTAATAACATAAAAGTCATTATACGATTAATAACAAAATAGCCATTATAGTTCGGCCAATATTCAGTTTACCTGTCATAGTTTTTTTGTTCTAAAAAAACCATTACAGTCAAAAAGTTATATCGTGGCCACTATTACCTGTTATTGTCAGTTTTGCAAGTACCAATAGAGATTAATATTATGATCTAATATAAGCAAGGAGGTGTGGACTGCACTATTATATATAACCCGGACACGACAAAAGCCACGGTCAAAATAATGAAAATATTATAAAATGGTCGTTGGCATTAAGAGTTGTCATCAACCAAGTTGATAGTATGAACCAAACCGAAGAAAATAAATATCATTCATTCATAATAACACGCCAAATAGTTAAAGTTTTTTTCATAAAATATTTGATCTTTAATGAATTGAATTTATAATATCCAAATCTCCCGTTACACAACCTGAAACCAAACAAAAATGATTATTTTGAATGGCTAATGCATCTCACAATTATATCATGTCATTTTATGTTGCACAAGTTGATGTTTGGATAACAACTAGCGGGCTGACCCGCGCTCCACATAAATTTGATTGTTTTTTTTGCACCAAGAGTATTAATATGCTACTTTTCTTCTAAACCTTACTTGTTATTTCATAGGATAATTTCATATTCCTTTTTTTTTTTTTTTTTACTAAAATGGTGTTTTTAAAAAAAATATTTACCAGATAGGTATAGTTTTAAAAATATTTACCAAATAGGTATATTTTAAAAAAAAAAAAATTAAAATTTTCAGTTTTTTAAATATTTTTACTGTTTTTTAATATACTTTTTTTAAACTATTTGTTTTAATGTTTTTTTTCTATTAATTTTTATCAATTTTTTTTTAAAAAAAAAACACCATCATAACCAACAATTTTTTGAATATAAACCAACAAATGCTCATTATCCGTAAATTCGAATAAGGATTGTCCGGAATTTCGTCCGATTTTTCGGATTCGAATAGTCATTTTATAATATTTGAGATATCCGAAACGTAGGTTTTTTTTTATTTATTATACTGAATTGGAAAATGCTACTTATAATTAATCAAAATTCATTTTTATGTTACTTAGAAGTTGTTTGATATGTATTTTATGATCAAATATGTTTTTTTATTTGTGATGGATAAGCCGTAAATGAATATAAACTTTAATTATGAACTCAATCTTTTGGGTGTCTTATTATTCAATTCATTTTATTTATTCCATGTTTGCCAATTATACCATAGTTATACAGCAAGAAAATTTGTCAATGTTAACTACACTGCCACATTTTTGTTTTCATAATTACATTTCAATTGTTATTCTTTTACAACTTGAGCGATTGATATTATGAAGCTCCTATAACATTAAACAATCTATTCTTCATATAGTATATAATGGCACAAACAAATAGCTTTGTGTTTTGCTTCGGTTCCTACGTTTCTTACCATTTTTCTTGTTTTAAGTTTTTTTTATTGTAAACATTAATATGTTTCCTTGGTATAGTTGTTTAAAACTACACCTATGTAGTAAACATAAGAAAGTCTCAACCATAATTTGTACGCTACAAGTAAACTATGTTATCTTATAACTCAAATCCTAAAAGTAACATATGTCAAACAAACTATGCATGACTTTATACGAAATAATAGTATATAACTATATATGAAATGGTATACAAATAGAAGTAGTCAAGGTGCTTGAATAGAATATTGTCAATGCATGATGTGGCAATGAATTTTCTATCTTAGTTATTTTCAACTCAAAACTGTTTCAGAAAAACCAAAGTTCACACAAAATGCAATAATATTTGGTTACCGGAAAATGGAGGCGTGTAAATAACAAACTAAAAAGAAAAACAATTTAAGTTTTGAAAGTTTAATTTAATAATAAAATTGATAAAACAATCACCCACAGAAACGTTTTATGTCATTGAGGCATTTCATCGAACAGGTTATCGCCTCAACAGAAGCAGCCATGATTTTTCACACCCAGATATCATTATATCGCAAGATCAAGTATTTTTGGCTTGAATCTTACGCAGACATGTACGTGATCACTTTTTCAGCTATGGATGAGTGTTTCGTGGGTGTTTTAGTTCAAATATTTCCTACATTATGGGTTATTCTTAATTCTTTTAAAGATTCATGGCAACTCATACTTAGAATTAATTGACAAAATCACATTTTTACTCAGAACTCGCTACATGTATATGAGTAGTATGCAGAATCCCAAAACAAATCCCCAATATTTAAATCCCTAACCAAGCAAAAGTCATGATTCTTACCTCAGAACTCAGAAGATGCCTGAATTCAAATTGTTGTGAATGATGAAAAGCTCGTGATATTATTCGCGAAGATGCATGTGAGTGGGATTCGGTTTCTGAAATTACGAAGCAAAGCGATCGAAACCCCAACGAAGATAGTCATATTCAGATACAACCTTCTGATGCGAGTCCGCGTTAACGAGTTGTTATTTGTCATTCAGGTCTTATTTGCAATTTTCTATTTGTCCATTTTGGCCATTTATGTTTTGACATTATTGACATTTGACCCTTGTAACAACTTTTTAACGACAAAATGTACTAATGGAGTTGTCTAGTATCTACCATGTCAAAAACAAGTTTGTTCGACTTGAATATTTTCTTGTCTATTTTTTATATATTTTTATTAATAGTTTGTGTTTAATATAATAAAAAGACCAAATTATTAAAATAATATTATAGAATTTCTAATTAAAAGATTTAGGATGTTGCATGTATTATATATCTGATTTGTTAATAATAAAACATAACCCGATCGTCAACTGATTTATTTATAAGTAAATAAATTTAAATTATCATGTCATATTTCTTGTAATTAACTTTGTCTACCTAAAGGTGGGATCTAATAACTTTGCTTCAAAGTAAGTTCTTTCATTTGAATAAGCTAAAACAAGGTATAACATCATACTTGCAATGCAAAACACAACCAAGAAACAATCCAAAGAACATATGAATGGAAATAACGATAGTCCAATATTAACACATATATTGATAGTACATTTTCAATGTTCTTCATAGATGGTTCCTTTCTATTTTGACTATGGAGTTTTAATTTAATTTTCTGTGGGTCGCAGTTTAAAAATAATATTTCGTATTTAATATTTTCAAGACTTTTATTAGTCTTTATTTGAAATTTTATATGACTATATCAAATAGAAGAGTAACCATCACAACTTCGTCTTTTCCTTTCAAGTAATGTCTCGTATATTTCGTAGTAATAACAAGCATACATATAAAATAGTGACACTTTTCGCATGAAGTGATGATGTACCATAAACGTATGTTACACGTAAATTGTGATAACGCGTTGATTCAAATTAGCATAAAGATAATTTAAAGTATTAGAAATATCTCCGACATGAGAAGTTCAACCGAACTACACATCATCTTGAAGAATTGCTCTTGTTTATATATAAAATTTATATAATCTTCCATGTATAATACTATATAAATTCATGAATTTATTATACAATACATAAATTAGAGCACTCAAATGTATCTTTGATATATGCATAAAATTATTAGTAGTTTATAACCAAGAAATCTCAAATGACTCCTTCTTTTTCATCCCAAATGTGATTTTTCAATATCTTAAACGTGTTTGGTTATGGTGTTTTTATCGAGTTTGACATTGAGTCATTTTTATGTTTAGAACTCCCCTCTTACTTCATATCATTCCATATATTTCCTTTTTTGTCAACCATTTGCCCGAATCCAACCATTCCATAATTAGTTACAATTTCTTGACATTTTCATATGAATTTCTTCTACATTTAATTGCTTACAAATTTAAGAAAATAATGGGACCTGATATTTAAATATTTGTAGGAATATATGACAAGTCCTTGTAGCAAAATTAAAAAGACTAGATGAAGTTGAAGTGTCTTTCGGTTTTAAACTATTCCTTGAAGTAATGTATCGTAAATTTCGATCTAACATGGATATATATATTCCATGGAATTCGGTAATGAGTGAAGCAAGTACACATGAACTATTTTAGCGTGTGGAATCAAATAATCTTTTATGACATACTCGTCAAATCAAAATTTGTATAATGCATAACGATTTTTCTTTTCACAAAACACCAATTTTTTAACAAAGTATTATCATAAGGTGAATAACCTCAACTTTTTGTTTATAAAATATCCTTATTTTATTGGTTTTTATGGTATATTGTGAACAAAATGTTCTCCTTGTTTTCCTTGTGGTGGTACTTTTTAAAAACTTATTATTCATTTATAACATTAACACTTTGTTTTATGTTTATCTTACTTGTAAAGTTATCAAACACTTTGTTTTATGTCTATCTTACTTGTAAAGTTATCTTAATCGTAGTTAGTCTAACGTTCACTTTCCAGTTTTCATATACATTGATTCTTCTTTTGATTAGGTGTCGACGTGACGTATATGATAAGTCAGTCTTTTAGTACATATATTTATCTCTCAATCTCTCAATATAGAATAATTATACAAATATAAATAAATACAAATAAATAAAATTGTTCAAGTAGTTTTCGATAAACATAAGAAAGTTTCAACCATTTAGAACTAGACATGTCAAAATATAAATCTACGTGCAAATACAAATACAAGCAGTAGATAGAGTCAGAGAGACAGATGCAACTGAAATTGCAGTTAAATTACAACAAATCTTGTGTGAAATATAAACATTGAAATTACAGTTAAATGACAGTTTCAACCACATGACACACTTCTTGGATTATTCATAATAATATCAAGTACACATATATAGAGTGTAAAGACTACAAGGGACATAATGTGTACGCTATAAAGTAAACTGTAAACAGTTTTACCAAATAACTAATTAAAATTCTTAAACACCTATGTCAACCAAATTACATGATTTTATGCAATGTTATTTCCTAAGTGAAAGGGTATAATATTACAAATATATAATATATCATTAATGCATCATGTGGCAGTGAATTTTCTAGCCAGATATTTTCAACGCGAGCATTTTTTTTTTGAAAATTCAACAAGATAAAATATAAAGTGATTAAAGTCCACCCAAAATGCAATAAGCTTTGGGTAGGCATGTAAAATTGTAAATAACAAACCAACTATTGCAAATCGCCACATAAAGAAAAACATGATTAAATTTTCAATTTTTAAATTCAAATTTAATATGTCTGTATGAGACAGCTAAAAATTATCGAAATTATCACCCTCAAAAACATTGTTTCATTGAGGCATTTCATGGAATAGGTTGTCGCCTCAATAGAATCGCCATTATTTTTCACACCCAAAGATAGAGTATTTTTTTTGCTTAAATATCACCGAACAACTTAGCATTCATGTAATCATGTCCGCGCTCGTTTTTTCAGCGTGGGTTATTTTTTTAGAAGCATTTCATTGGTGTTTTGGATTCGAATATGTTCTACGTTAGTGGTTATATATTCTTGAAAAGATTTACGACAGTTCATACTATGAAATATAATTTGATGATCACAAGCTCAATCATTTAAAATTTGCATGCTTTTGAGTAGCATGCATGCAAGACAACATTGCCTTAGAAGATGCCTGAATTCAGCTTGCAGGGATGATTCTGATGATTAATGTCATGATTATTATTGGTGAAGATGCATTTCAGCATATGCGTGGCATTGGGTTTCGAAATTCAGAAATTACGAAGCAAAAGGATGAAATACCAACGCAGAATGGGGTGGTCCAGCTCCCAGTTATAGTTTTTCTTTGGCCCTTTATCTTTAGACATTGTTGGTACTTGAACCTTATAAAAGTTTTTCTTAACATCTTGAAAAAAATTATTGGTCGTTATGGCTTGGCTTGGGTATGATCCAGTCATGTCAAAACATTTATTTTCTATTATTGTTAAATTCCTTTGCAAATAATTTTTGTTCACAATGATTAACAAACTATATTATTATTAATAGTAATATAAAACTTTTAATTTAGGGATAAATTTCTGCTGTTGAATGCATTAGATATATTTGGAGTGAACTCATTATTATTATTATTATTATTATTATTATTTTATTTTTTTACGGAATATAATAGCACTAACTAAAATTTAAGTTAATGTTAAAGAAAATATTCAAAAGTAAGTTTTATTTTTAAATGACCAATATTTTTAGAATAGATCATTTTGAACCAACTTTATTTTATATAAAAAAGTAATTTTTCTAACAAAAAGTATATATATATATATATATATATATATATATATATATATATATATTTATTTATTTATTTATTTATCGGTCAATACGGTAGATACATATATAAATACAAATAAATGGCATCAAATTTGGGTAATAAGTATGTTTACTTGTAGGTCTTTTGTCTCTAAAAATGAAGCATGTTATGATGTTACTTATCTTAAACTTCGAGAAATATGTTTAAATATTGGCTATCTATTCATTTTTTTATCCGAGCCCGATGCTACTTGAATACACACCGGACAAAATGTTCATTTGTGTTGGGGGTAATATGGGATAGTCATAACTACATTTAAGAGCTAAAATAAATCGAGCCAAGTGTATTCACTCTATTTATAGACCAAAATATCTAAATACGTACCCTTATGTTTACATTGTTAGCTTCGATTACATAGACAAAATATATGTATATTATTAACACAAAACTACATATAAATGGTCCTTATGGTATGGGGTAATAGACACTTTCAATATAAGTTAAAAAACCAGACAAACTCAATCTTTGTGTTTTGTGGATATTACGTAGATGATAATTTTCACATACGACGTCAAAAAAACTCCCATAAAATTTCTATAAAATGAAAATTTTACTATTTTTAATAAATTGATACTGAATATTTCTTTTTATTATATTGAACGAGAGATTACAAAGGCCTATATATATATATATATATATATATATATATATATATATATATATATATATATATATATGGATTGGAAAATAAGATAAACTAAGAAAACTAGATAAACTAGAAAATTTGAATAAAGATAACTTAGGCAAAAAGAAACGTAATCCTAAACAAACTCCAACACTCCCTCTCAAGTTGGACTGTGAATATTTCGAACACCCAACTTGCTACGTAAACTTTGAAAACGTTTTGCACCAAGGGCCTTTGTAAAAATATATGCTGGTTGTAACTCTGAACTAATAGCATAAGTCTTTATTTCTCCACTATTGACCCGTTCACGGACGAAATAGCAATCCATCTCAACATGCTTAGTCCTTTCATGATAAACGGGGTTAGTAGCTATGTGTCTTGCTGCTTCATTATCACACATAAGAGGAGTAGTTTCACTTTGAACTGCATCCAAGTCAAGAAGTAACCATCTCAACCATAAAACTTCACAGACGGTAGTAGCCATGGCTTTATATTCCGCTTCAGCAGAAGAACAAGACACCACACTTTGCTTCTTTGTTCTCCATGAAACTAGAGCACCTCCGAGACTGATGTAGTAACCTGTACATGAACGCCTAGTAGTGGGACAACTCATCCAACTGGCGTCACAATAGGCTTCAAGAGTCAAACTTCCAGACGAAGGTAACAATAAACCTTGTCCAGGAGTAGACTTCAAGTAACGCAAAACTCTCATGGCAGCATTCATATGAGACTGTCGAGGATTGCTTAAAAATTGACTAAGTTGATTTACACTAAAGGATATGGCTGGTCTCGTCACAGTAAGGTACAATAGTCTCCCAACTAACCTTCGATATTGTGAAGCGTCAACCTCAGGACTGTCATCGTTTTTAGTGAGCTTCAAATGTTGTTCCATAGGAAAATCACTTGGTCTGCACGCTTGAACACCACAATCTTCAAGCATATCAAGTGTGTACTTTCTTTGACTTATAACAAAACCTTCTGAGGAACGTGCAACCTCAATCCCTAGGAAGTATTTGAGAGACCCAAGATCTTTAATACTGAACTGTATCTGCAACTGGTTCTTAACTTCTTTAATATTGTCAACCTTATTTCCCATTAACAAGACATCATCAACATATATCAAAGCAATTATGTGTGTAGCATTTTCTTTGTAAACAAACATCGAATGGTCAGCCTTGGATTGTAAGAAACCATAACCAGTAAGAGCTTTAGTAAAATTTTGATACCAGTTTCTGGAAGCTTGCTTTAGTCCATAAACGGACTTCTCCAATTTGCATACACGAGTTTCTTCTACATTCTTGAATCCTTAAGGTATCTTCATGCATATTTCTTCTTCAATATCACCATGCAAAAACGCATTATTTACATCAAGTTGGTGCACTTCCCACCCTTTCTTCGCAACAACGGCCAAAGCACACCTTACTGTCACCAACTTTGCAACAGGAGCAAATGTTTCGTGAAAATCAACACCTTCTATTTGCGTATATCCTTTCGCAACCAGACGCACTTTATATCGCTCCACTTCTCCATTTGGTTTGTACTTTATCTTATAAACCCATTTAGATTCTATAGCTTTCTTTCCCGGGGGCAGTTTGGTAATAGTCCACGTCTTGTTCTCTTCCAAGGCTTTTATTTCTTTCATCATAGCCTCCTGCCATTTTGGATCTTTACTAGCCTGTGCAAAACTCTTAGGCTCATCAAGTGAAGTGATGGTTGCCAAGAAAGCTCGATGATCATTAGAAAACTTATTATATGAAACATATTGAGAGAGAGGATATACCGTACGAGAACTTGATTCGGGAGCGGGTAAGGAATATTGAAGAGATGGTGGTAAGTCTGTGACATATTCTTTCAAATGCGTGGGCTGAAATCTAATCCGGGTACCATGTCGAAGTGATTGACCCTGATTATCGGACCTATCATTAGTTACTGGTGATTTTGGAGAGTTATTATCAGGTTCTTCATCATTTATTGTGGTTTCTGAATTATTACTGCCTGATCGTTGTGTCTCATCATTAACTTCTGTATTGTAATCCCAATTTTCATTTGTCCCTTCATTCGTGTTGCTTTCAATAACATTTCTCCGTTGGTACTCGTCATCAAAATTTGGTATTTCTTCGAAAGCATCAACCAAATACTCATTATTAATTATTTTGTGACCTTCATAATCTTATCCAAACGGAAATTTTGTCTCCACAAAAGTCACATCTCGGGTGGTATAAATCTTTTGGTTTTTAAGATCATATAACCTGTAACCCTTTTGCCCCATTGGATAACCAATAAAAACACATGGTCGTCCTCGTTCATCAAACTTATCACTTGCTTTCATGTTATCGTGAGCATAGGCAAGACATCCAAAAACCTTAAAATGATCATAGGATGGTATCCTTTTAAGTAAAATCTCATGTGGAGTCTTGTTTTCAAGAACTGGAGTTGGCAGTTTGTTTATAATATATGCTGTTGTCATTACACATTCTCCCCAAAATTCAATGGGTAGTGATGCTTGGAATCGTAAGGCTGTAGCCATTTCTAACAAGTGTCTGTGTTTTATTTCCACCACACCATTTTGCTGTGGTGTATAAGCACATGAAGTTTCAAACATGATTCCTTTTTCTTTATAAAACTCAATCATGTGTCGAGATTGAAACACGGACCCATTATCTGTTCTTATACGTCTGATTTGGTTTTCAAATTGAGTTTCAATCATTCTATAAAATGTTATCAAATGTTGTGAAGCTTCTGATTTGTTTTTCATAAGGTATACCCATACTCCACGACTATAATCATCAACGATAGAGAGGAAATAATGAAAACCATCAAGTGAAGCATGCTTGTAACGGCCCCAAATATCAACATGAATTAACTCAAAACTTTTACTTGTTTTTGAAAAACTAGTAGGAAAAGGTAATCTACTTTGTTTTGCCCTAATACATGAATCACAAAATTTGTTTGGTGTACCTAATTTTTCTAATTGTTATATTTTCTTGAGAACTCCCTCTGACGCGTGACCCAACCTTCTGTGCTAGATCTCATGCTTCGTTAATACCATCATCGCCACCCTTTGTCTTTTGAATGGTTGGAGATAGTACAACCCATCTCTTTCCTTACCCGTCCCAATCAGGTTCCTCATACGTAAGTCTTGTATGAAACATGTTTTAGGCAAAAAAATTAGTGAACATTGTAAGTCATTAGCGAGTTTACTAACAGATAGTAAATTGTACTTGAATTCGGGCACATTTAACACACTTTTCAAACCGAAACCATTTGGTATATGTATGTTACCAACTCCTTCGATGTTGACTGTATCCCCATTGGGTATTGTAATAGATGTGCTGTTTAGATCTTCTTTCATTGTTTTGAATAATGCCTTGTTGTGAGTAACATGTTCACTAGCACCAGAATCTATAATCCATTCATCATGAGTTTTAGTTTTACCTGTCATGTTTACAGTGGGAGTTGTTTTAGTGTCACGGATCATCTTTATCAGCTTCTCATATTCACCTTTTGTAAGACCAAGGCCTTGAATTTGTGGATCTTCAGTAGTAGTGGTTGCTGCATGTGGCTGCACCTGTGGCTGCACCTTTGCTTTTCCAGCGGAAGTCTTTGTGATTGGTGTTCTTGGTGTCCACCATTCCGGGTATCCAGTCAGTTCGAAGCATCCTTCCATGTTGTGTCCCGCCTTTTGACAATGGGTACACCAACGATCATCATTCCTTTTCTTATTTGCTGTTTGATTTGTGTTTCCTTTATTCTGATTCTTGGAGTAATTCTTTGATGTTTGAAACGCAGCAGAGTTATTAGTAATTACTCGTGAGCTTCCAATTTGCTTTTGCTGTTCATCTTAACTGATAAGGTGGAATGCAACTCCTAAGGTGGGTAGAGGATCACTGCTTAGTATTTGAGTTCTTAGCACACTATATTCCTCACTTAGCCCCATCAAGAAATCATATAGCCTTTCCTTTTCACGCATCGCATTAATTTCTTTTGTGATATCACATGAACATCCTTGACACGAACAAGTTGGTGTTGGATTGATCGATCGTATCTCATCCCATATTCCTCTGAGTTTTGTGTAATAAGCAGACACCTTCATGTGTCCTTGTTGAATCATAGTAGCGGATCTTCTGAGTTCGTATGCTCTTGGAGCATTCTCCTTCCAAAATCTTTCTTTCAAATCTTCCCATATCTCTTGAGCAGTAATAGCAAATTTCACACTGTTCTTGATTTCTTTTTCCATGGAACTAACAAGCCACCCTCGAACCATAACATTACACCTCGTCCAATTCATGACATCTTTTGATCCATCTTCTGGTTTGACAAGTGAACCATTAACGAACACGAACTTGTTTTTGGCGTGAAGAGCATTCGTCATCTTATTCACCCAATCGTTGTAGTTCCCATCGCTTAATAGGTTATCACCAACGGAGTTTAAGCCTGGATGATCAGCCGATGAGAGAAAGTATGGGGATGATATGTCGATGGGTTTGTCAGTCGATGATGACGACGCAAGGGTTTCTCCTTCCGCCATTTTATGCGAATCTTCAGTTTATCAGAGATCTCTGCTCTGATACCATAATAAATTGATATTGAATATTTCTTTTTTTATTATATTGAACGAGAGATTACAAAGGCCTATATATATAGATTGGAAAATAAGATAAACTAAGAAAACTAGATAAACCAGAAAATTTGAATAAATATAACTTAGGCAAAAAGAAACGTAATCCTAAACAAACTCCAACAATTTTTTTAATTTTTTTATTTTCATATTTTATTATTATTTTCCTAAACTATAGGGACCATTTATGTAAAGTACTAAAACTATTAACCAAATCATCATTGCATGTTTTTGTGTCTTTATGGCATCATACAAAAATACCTAATCACCACCTACACTTTCATCAGAGAAGCTAAGCACTGGCGCTGACCTTCTTTATCTCCTTTGTCGCTGAACCGTCGTCAAACTTCTCCATCTTCGCTTCTCGATTCAAAGCTACAAATCATGGTACCGTAGCCATGGGGGGCGTTGAGAGGGGGGAGGGGGGGGGGGGGGGGGGGGGGGGGGGTGGCAAAGTGGGCAGCTTCACAGAGCCAATTTTTTTATTATATATAATGTTTACATTTATTTAAAAATAAAAACTTATAATAGCGATAGAGACCCTTTTTCTCTAACTCGTCCTGGGCATTTGAGGATATTTACATCCTCAGGACCGGCCCTGAACGTAGCTCACGATTTCACCTACATTGACGATATCGTAAAGGTTTTATCTAAGTATGCTGGATATTGCAGAAAAGAGCATCAAAAGCGGTCGCCTGCATAATTATGGGGTTTTAACCTCAAGAATATGTCTTCAATTCCAGTATCCGATCTCATGAGCATTTTGGAGCAGTTATTAAAGGTTAAAACGAAACGATTAATGATGAAATTGCTAGAAACGACGATGTTCAATTCTCCCACGTGAATATCAATTTTGTTCGAAGGGAATTTGGGTATAAAACGACGACAAATCTTTAAGCATGGTTGAAAAAGTTTGTCAGATGGTACGTGGGTTACTATAAAGAAGAGCGACTAGTGAAGTGAAGAAGATATTGAATTTTTTCTTAAATAGAGTGATTTTTTTTTCTAGTTCTTCATGGATTGATTTCCGTTTCCTCGGATCTAGTAACAAATCTTCAAATAAAGTTGATATTTTTTTCACAAATTCTTAAGGTAAGTTACATAAATAATCATTGTACCGTAGGGAAATAATAATATAATATGGAAAATATGGTGAAAAAAAAGAAAGAAAAGGTAAAAATGTCAATTTATAGAAAATTAACATAAATTTTTTGACATCGTGTTTGAAAAGTACCATCTCCTAATATTGACAAAATACAAGGATTGAGTTTGTCCATTTTTTAATTTTTTAATTTGTAATGGAAGTGCCTATTACCCTATACTACAGGGACCATTTATGTAATTTTTTCTTATTATAATGATAGCTAGCTGGTCAACGGAATGAAATGCTCCGGTCTATAAATATAATGTGACATGGCTTCATATAATACCATGCATATAATACCGAATTCTCCATAACATTCCAAGTGTGAACAAGCATTTGTATTGTGAGAAACCTTTGCTATTTTTACAGATTCTTGTTTGGGTGATTAACAATAGAGGCAAACCACATTCGTTTTCTACCTCAGGAGTTAAACGTAAAGGTTATACAATGTCTGCACAAGTCCAACAAATGGTATGGATTGTATTTTTAATGTGTTCATGGCATAGATTTTGAATATGAAATCTTATATTATTCCATTGTGATGTATATATATGCTATTTGATCCCAACATTAATCATATTGGAATATATTTATCTTATATATAAATTCCTAAAATATAATTGAAATGAAAATATTTTATACCTTCTTCGGTTTATACAAAACACAATAAAGGGCAAAATAAGCATATCAACGATCCTAATTTTATGTTGCACCCTCTCCCACACTCGGTGGCGGTTTTGTATAGGTGCCCATAATGGCACCGACAACACCTACCCAGTTCGCAGTGGAAAAAAATTTAATTTTTTTTTACCTATTTTTCCTACACTGGTATGTATTTTTGCTACACCTGGTATGTATTTTTGCGTCCGTCCTTGCCCACACTTCCTCATTGGTCTGATCAACCTCTCACAATTTGTCTTGTCAATCATAACAACTTACAATCTTTCATTATTGTCGACGCTACTTGTCTCTTCTTTAGATATATCCGAACCACTGCAATTAATCCCCCTTCCTTCAAATTTGTGGTGATCCATGCAACTCCTAACTTCTTTCTTTATACTATATGTAGTATCATGTCCAACATTGTTCTATCGTATGTTTACTATAGCATTCTTGTTATCCCAACTTTCATCTTTCATTCATGCCATACAACATATTGAACTAAAGCTTGTCTTTCAATCGGGTTTTGTTTAGGTTTATAGATATTTTAAAGTAGATGTTTAATGAATTTGAGTATAAGTTTATATCAATATAAGGATCATTTGCCAGATTACTTTTCTGATAGCTATTTTTTATAATTACAATTTTATGAATTATGACCCAGACAACTAACTTTAAAATGTGCTTTACATAATTAAAAAAAAAGAATCGAAATAAAAAATATTTTTTGTCATTTAAAAATAGATTATATATATAGAAGAGTTATTCTTCAAATTGTTAACGATTCCTTTTCACTTCCCAACAAACTAAAAAGCGGTTGAACGAACCGTCCTCCCATCATCATCCGCAGCTCACGCAACGTTCCCTCCACCTCTATCGATGTTACAGAGGAAGACGTCATGTTCTTACATCCATTACAAGCTAGTGGTGAATCCACACGCTTACGCGCTAATTCATTCTTAAATTTTATCAATTTCGAAGTGTCGAGGTATTTTCATTTTTGTGAATTTGTTCCTGTACTGTGTACTCGATGTTCTAATCAATAAATATTCTTCTCCTTGGAATTATAAACCCGCGGAGGATCATGAGTTTTTGCCGCCTTTACATTATTGAATTTGAATTTAAGTCGAAATCTGATTGCTAGGGTTTTTATTTTACTTCGTTGTGTAAATGTAAATTTGTAATTGTGGTTTTTATAGATGATTGCGCCAAACGCTAATGAAGCAGCTCTACGAACAGTAATGGTGGATTTACTGAATACTGTGGTATTCGAAACCAAAAGAACTGCCAAATTTAGAACTCTGCTCAAGCGCATCGAGAGAACATTAAAGAACATTGAGCCGATTTTTTATGGATATGAGAGGTTGAGAAAAGTGTTGTATCGACCTGAAAACGAGACCAAAATGTTCATATATTATGTGGCAAATGGAAAGGAAGTAGTTCTGGAGTGCTCAGAGATCAAATGTTGGAATGTGTACAAGAAATTTCTTCACGCCAACAAGCTAATTGGATTGGACAACATGCTTTTGAGATTCTTTCAGAGTGAATTGCAGGATAATTTGAGTTCTAGCAGGAGGAGTCTGTTTGAGATTTATGCTTTGGGAGACAAATTGGATCAAGTCCTTGCAGCTGTTACCAAACAGACAGGTGGATTTTCTGATTCTTGCAGTGTTCCAGGGCTTCCAGATGTGATCATTGGGTTGGATTTTCATCTTCAAGAACTGAAAAGAATGGTGCTCAAAGATGACAACCAGGTCATAACAGTTTCAGCTCCTGGAGGATGTGGGAAGACTACATTAGTAAAGATGCTCTGTCATGATAATGAAATCAAAGGTACATAAACTATTCAACTTTTCTTCTTTGCATCTATTCTTCATCTCATTCTTAACTGTTTTGTTTTGTACAGGCATTTTTGGGGACAACATCTTTTATGTTACTGTTTCTAGAACAACCTCCCTGAAGACAATCATCCAGAAACTATTTACACATTTTCATGTGAGTCATTGTGAGTTACAAACTAATGAAGAGGCAAAGAACCAATTAGAGAACTTTATGAGACAAATGAGATCAAAGAACATATTGCTGGTGTTGGATGACGTGTGGTCAGAATCCGAATCACTTATTGAAGATCTTAAGTTTCCAATATCAGGATACAAAATCTTGGTGACATCAAGATTCTTGTTTTCAAGATTCGGTTCCACATATGAACTAACTTTGTTAAACGATCAAGATGCAAAGACCCTTT